CCCCTATATTCGCTATACGGGTACGTGCCGCCAAACAGGGTATGGTTTTCAGCGATTCTACTCTGGAACAGGCACATAAAATCGCGCTCGCTCTGGAACAGGGCATATGAAATCACGCTCTCTCCTCTCTGGAACAGGGTATCTATTTTTGCGATACTAGAATAGGTTATGATTTTCAGTAATCTTGCTCTGGAACAGGGTATGAATTTCAGTGATTTTACTCTGGAACATGGAAGAGGGCTCAGCGGCACATCCCTACCCTAAACGGGCAAGAGTGACCCCCGGGCTTCCAACCCAATAGTCTTCCTATTTTTCCTTTGTTTAAATTATAAAAGAAAATGCCAAAGTAACCTTGTGAAATGAAATTTACAAAAAATAATGGTTTCGAAAAGAGTATGGACAGAAACTATCCACAGTCAGAAAATATTCTCTTGCTCTAATAGTTGGCTATAAAATATATAATTTTTTAGCTTCGTGCTCTCTTGATTAGAGTCATTGAAGTAGGGGTATAATTCAGTAGAACCGCTGAAATACGGGACACAAAAATTGTTACGGTGCAAGTTCAAAAACAATGTTGCTCGTTTTATATCCTATCTATCCAACTTGTCACGCAACAAAATCTAATGTTGCAAATTGGGACTATCACGGTGATATTCTTCACGCTGATTGGCTACAAGCTACATAATTCAAGATGGCGGCCGCTTCTGTATATAAAATGTTGCGTGACAAGTTGACGAGTGATGAAAAACGAGAAACAAATCGCAAATTTGTCGAAGAAAGTTGATTTACGTTCTACTTTTCGCAACAAGTTTTCCCAACTTGCAACGAAAGATTTTGTTGCGTGACAAGTTGGATAGATATGGTGTAAAACCAGCAACATTGTTTTCGAGCTTGCACCGCAACAATGTTGCCTGGCTACAAGTTGAACGTTTTTGTGTCTCTTATTTCAGCGCCTTAAAGAAAACATAGTGTCAGTCAATTAGGATGACTGACCTTACTTTTCTAACCAGAATTTAACAACCTTTGGATAGGTTGAAACAATTCACTTAGTCATTTAAAAAAATAACTGATTCTCAATTAGTGGGCACCGGCCTCAAACAACTGACGCGGGCTACTAAGGAATAGAAAATTTCCTCGCGCGCGCGCTGACTTCAGCATAAAAACCCGTTCACAGATCGTGCACTATGCCAGTTTACCAGGTAGCGTGGATGGAGTGGTTGGTTGGATGGTGGTTGGTGGTGGTGGTGTTGTCGTCGGGGCAAGAGTGGGAATAGCGATACCTGGAAGAAATTGAAAAATTGCAATAGTCCCCTTCACAGTTCCCTGCGCCATCTTGAAAGGTTAGCGTGCCTTTGCATCGAAGCGAGACGAACGGTGAGCTTGCAATGATAGAGACCTTTTTTAACACCTTGGACAATTATTTCACATGTCTCTATCATTGCAAGCTCACCGTTCGTCTCGCTTCGATGCAAAGGCACGGTTACCTTTCAAGATGGCGCAGGGAGCTGTGAAGGAGACTATTGAGAAAAAAAGTGACCAAATCTATAAAAATTGCGGGAACATTTGCTGGGCTTAAAATAACAGCTTGTCATCAGTCAATGTCCAGCCACATGTCAGTTGAGCTTTTTGTACGTAAACTATAGAATGTAGTGGTGGTGTGTGAGTGAAAATTATTGTGAAAGGGTTAGAATGACAGGACACTATAGATAAAGAGATTTATTTATTGATGCGGTTTGTTATTATTGTGTGTTATGTATTATATTATTCTGTTATTTTGATCATTATTGTATTAAGTGTGTGAAAAAGTTGAACTCGAACAAACCTTTCTCAAAAACAGAAAGTTCAGCAGATGTTTGCTCTTCCCCAAGATAATTACTAGCGACACACTGGTAAATGCCAGCATCGGACGGTAACACCAACTCGACGGTCATTGATCCAGGGGTGAAGCGCATATAATCTGAGTTGGGTGGTAGCTTGTAACCATTTTTATACCAACTCACGTTGGGCGTTGGCCTGCCGTCAACAGCACACTTGAATTTTACAGTGTCATCTATATGTGCTTTCTTGTTTGAAGGTTTGGAAGTAAATGTTGGAGGATCTGAAGGAACAACAATAATTGATTAATTCTTTATCATATAAGGTTTTTGGTAATGTCCTCCTGATCTGGGAATCAACTGGCTCACAGACCCAGTATGGGAGATGGATGCTCCTAGTAATGAACTCCTGATCTAGGAATATGCTGGCTCATAGACCCAGCATTGGAGATGGATGGCTCCGAGTAATGGGGCTCCTTATCTGGGAATATACTAGCTCATAGACCCAGTATTGGAGATGGATGCTCCTAGTAATGAGCTCCTGATCTAGGAATATACTGGCTCGCAGACCCAGTATGGGAGATGGCTCCTTATCTGGGAATATACTGGCAGACCAAGAATGGGAGATGAACGTGCACTTAAGAGTTATAGGATTTTTGATCTAAAAAAATGCTGGCTTACAGACTAAAGTATAGAACGATCTGAGACATAACAACATTATATGCAAAAAGATATTATAAGAGGTTAACCCTATCAAGAACATCTCCAAAGATTGAATTGCAATTATAAGATAATTGGGATACTACGCGCGCTATGATTGGTCGAAAACCATGTTTGATGAGAGTATCAAAACACGTTATCGTCATTTTTAATCTATCGCGCGCGCTCATTGGTCAGTTTGAATAAGACGGCACGTAGGGAGAATTTACTTAGACTTTGCTTTTTTTCGATCTTTTCGCGCATTTGTTATTTTATAAAACAAATCAAAAACAATTTTCTGTGTGTTCTCCCAACATCCCGCGTGTTTTGATCAGAGTATCAAACACGGAAAACTGTTTTTGATCTGTTAATTAAGAAGTCGATTTTGCAGAGGGAGGAAAGCCAGTGTGAAGCACAGGAGAGAACCAACAAACAGCTCTATTCACATAAGACACCGAGCCTGGGAGGATTTGAACCCTGGTCACGTTGGTGAGAGGGGACGCATTCACATCACATGCAACATATATATGTTATTTACTGGCCAGGAGGTCCGGATAGGGAAAAACTGTGCCCGAGGTCTAGAATATACGGACCGAGGCCGTTAGGACGAGGTCCGTATATTCAAGACCGAGGGCACAGTTTTTCCCCATCCGGACCGACTATACGACGGTAAGTAACTTATTTATTTTTTTCCCGTATTTTTTTAACTTGTTTTTGTAATCGTTTTGTTTTGTCGTTGAGCGGCAAGGATACCCGAGGCAGATACTGACAAAATACCGCCTGCTCAAACAGCCAATCAGAACGCACAATTTTTTAGGATACCGGACAGGAAAAGAATAATTACACTTAGCCCCCGTCCACACGTATCCGGAAAAAAAATTTTTTTTTTGCGGATACGAAAATGTTTGCGTCCACACGCAGCGTATTCGATTCGTTTTCACCGTCCACACGTATCCGTTTTCGTAAAATTTGCGGATACGGACACCAAAATTTACGGACACGTGTGGACGCAAACCGTATCCGTAAAAAAAAAAAAAAATGCGGATACGTGTGGACGGGGCCTTATTTTACAAAATTTATTTTCATCTTTACTTACAGTGAACTTGCAGCGTCACAGACTTATACACGCTTAGACTGCCTGCCGATCCTTGACATTTGTATTCCCCATCATCATCGGGCAYCGCACTAGTGATTTCAAGATTGCCTTCTCCCAAGATTTTGACTCTATTGTCATATGCTATAAGCTGTGCATTCTTATACCACTCTATAGATGGTTTTGGATTGCCGCGGAGAGCACACTCCAGCACAACCCTACTGCCTTTTGTGGTGTTTGTATTTGTTGGAGAAGCTTCAAAATCTAGTCTTCTTGTATTTCCTTTATCTGAAAGAAAATGTTAAGGTGATGAGATATTCCATACTATTTGTATGGTTTTGTGTTTTCAGCGTTGAATTACTTTAAGACAGTATATAATTATTCAAATAAGGAAATCGTCATCATCATCATCACCATCATCATCACCATCACTATCATCATCATCATCATTATTATCATCATCATCTTCATCATTACTATCATCATCATGCAACATCATCACCATCACCAACATTATCACTATCATCATCATCGTGATCTTCATCAACATCATCACTATCATTATCTTCATCCTCACCATCATCATCACCACCATCATCATCACCACCAACATTATTATCAATATCATCCTCACCATCATCATCACCACCATCATTATCACCACCAACATTATTATCAATATCATCATCACCATCATCATCATCATTATCATACCGTAACCTGATATATATCTTACTCACTGGCATCGACAGTTAGAACAGCAGCATTACTTGAACGCATCCTCATAGCTAGTTTATTCGTCGCAGTACACACATATTCCCCAGCGTCTGACCACTGTACATTTCTAATTTGTAATACGCCMTTATCTAATAAAGTATGTTTATTATTTGATGWTGTTAATGATATGTATGTTCCATCTTTTTGCTTGAATTTCCAGGTAATTTTTGCTTTTGGCATTGAATGCCGAACCCTACAAAGTAATCTTGCTACATCACCGAAAATGACTTGTTGTGATGCTGGTTCTAATGTGACTTTTGAAGACATACCTGTAAGAAGAACGAAAAGAAGAAATGTCATTATTATTAAATTGAGTATGTCGTACACTGTATGAACATTATTATTGCAAAAATATGGTAACTTCAGATATCTATTCCCCTGTAGTTCCACAACATATTCAAAATTCCACATGTAAGGGGGTTGGAATTTCCAAGGGGAGGAGAGGGTCTGAGGGGGGCCTATTGTGTAGTTCCAGAAAATATCCATACCTCCCCCATGACGGAGAAGGAATTAGGAGAATATATCGTGTAGTTTCTGAAAATATCCATAYTTCCAAAATGGAGAGGGTTAAAGTGGTGAGTATCTGGGGAATGTTTACCTCTCCATGGTGTGGGCCGGAATGGTTTACAGAAAATAACAGTACATTATGTAGTTCAAAAACTTACCAGCAACTCTTAGATGAGCACTTCTACTTAAAACTATATAATCTTGACCTCTAATGCGTGACGACGCACGGCACTGGTATCGGCCTTCGTCCGGCCGACTACTTTTAGTATGTGTAATACTGCTAAAATATAAAGAACCATCTGGAAGGATTCTTCTTCTCTTGTCACCCAACAACATCTCTGTACCATCATGAAACCACGATATCGTGGGTCGTGGAATTCCTTCAACAGAACAGTT